CCCCCCCCACACACACACACTGCCACACCCCCACCCACACACATACCCCACCATATACATGCACTCACCCCCCAGAACTGCATCCCACACACTCCCCCACGCCACCATCACCCACACGATATACAAAAGAAAGACTATTTTTGACATATTATGGAATCACCTGTACATAAACTATGCAAACACATAAATTGGGACAAAAATATTTTTTGAAATCAAAATACGTTTATAGTAGATGTTTGACTCTTAGTATATGATTTGTTTTTCTTCTGGTTCCAAGGTGGTAACCCCCCCACACCCAGGAGCCCTTCCAGGGACAAGGGGAGGAACTTCCAGTGGCAGAGGTCAAGAGTTAGGGGGTGGGACTTTTGGTCCCAAGATGGCAACCAGGGGGTGGGGCACCTGCACCTGCCACCCTCAGCAGCTCACCAAAATTCATTAAGCTGCCCTCCAGCCAAAATAATTGCCCACCCCTGATATTGAGGGAAGGTGTAAAGAAATTGCCGGTTCCAATTGGATCAAAACCAGCAGTCAGCAGTATGGCTGTAGGTTGCTGACCCTTAGTCAAGATGGTGTGACAAGGCTGTTTTTCTTCATAGGGATTGTCAAGAGCTGAATTTATCATATTCCCAATAAACTCAGAACCATTGTCATTGTAACACTCTTACTGATGGTTTTAATGGAAGCTAAAGGAAGAGCCCTAGATTCTGAACTGCCCCATCAATCTCAGTTGTGGTTTCTCCAAGTCATGGATTGACAGTGGGAGATTATTTTGTCTGCACCTATTCTGTGAGAAAAGAGCTTCCTCCAAGTTTGTTTTCAGACCCCTCAGTTGCTAAATTTCTCTTCAGAATAGTCTTTTTGAAGCTGAGGACTCCTGGATTTAGGTGAAAGATGTGCTCCAACAGATCCTGGTGGAAGGGTATAATTAGTGCATGCAACTGATTTAGTGATTATTGATGCTGAAAGGACATCAAATCTTGGGTCCTTCTCAGGGTAAGAAGTGAACATACATTAGGCAAGTAATTCTCAATCAGGGTGCTGCAGCACCCTCAGGTGTCATGACATCCTTAAGTGTTCTGCAAGGTGTCACTCAGTATTAAGATTGGTAGGTGAGCAAACACCTGTACTTGATTCACAAGATAAACTCAAATTTCAAATGGGATTCATAGTTTCATAGTTATTGGGGTTGGAAGGGACCTATTAGATCATCGAGTCCAACCCCCTGCCCTGGGCAGGAAAGAGTGTTGGGGTCAAATTACCCGAGCCAGGTGTCTGTCCAATCTTCTTTTGAATATTTCCAAGGAAGGGGACAACACCGCCTCCCTTGGAAGCCTAGTCCATATTTTGGCAACCCTCACTATATAAAGAACTTTTTCCTGATGTCCAGCCTGAATTTGCTGTCTTTTAACTTGTGTCCATTGTTTCTAGTTATCCCTGACTGTCACCCTGGTAAACATCGTATCCCTCACTTTCTGCTGACCCCCCCACAATGAGTTTGTAGGTGGCTGCAAGATTACCACCTCTCAGCCTCCTCTTGTGGAGGCTAAAGAGGTTCAGGTCTCCCAATCGGTCCACATAGGGTTTTTTCTCTAGGCCTTTAACTAGACAGGTGGCCCTCCTCTGAATCCTTTCCAGGTTATCCACATCCCTTCTGAAGTGTAGTGACCAAAACTGGATGTAGTACTCCAGCTGCAGCCTGACCAATGCTGCATAGAGGGGAAGTATCACCTCCCTAGACCTGTTTGTGATGCACCTACTTATGCAAGAAAGAGTGCAGTTAGCTTTACGTATTACCTCATCACACTGGTGACTCATGTTCATTTTGGAGTCGGTTATGACTCCAAGGTCCCTTCTTGCAGTTGGGTTGCTTAGAATGGTCCCTCCCAGACTGTAGGAGTGCTGATGATTCTTCCTCCCCAGATGCAACGCATGCCATTTACCCTTTGTTAAACTGCAACCTATTCTGTTCTGCCCACCTCCCGAGCCTGTCCAAATCCACTTGGATTTGCTCCTTGCCCTCTAGCATGTTTACCTTCCCCCCTCCCCCCATAGTTTTGTTGTCAGCAAACTTGGACAGGGTGCTTACTACTCCCTTGTCCAAGTCATTAATGAAAATATTGAATAGTACTGGTCCCAGGACAGAGCCTTGGGGGACTCTGCTGCCTACATTTCTCCAGGTGTCAAAAACATTCGGACCTATTGTGGGTTTTCTGAGTTCTTTGCAACAGAATTGCTCTTTTTTTTTTTTCTACTCTTTCTATTTTGTTAATTCTTTTCATCCCGTAATAAAATTTATCGTCGGGTCTTTGACTATAGTTTGTATTACAAACACTTCTAGGTACCATATGGTATTATTAATAGCATGAGCTGAACCAAATGGGAAATGTAGTGCTCTAGCTATGGACACTTGTTGTGGCTCAGTAGTTTGGGTGGAAGGAGAATCTAATTCAAGGCATAAACAGTGCATGCACTGAGATAAAAATTTCAGGTAGTTCTTGAGAAAGCAACTCTAACTGTGCATTTCTTCTCACACAGGGACCTAGCAGCTCGGAACTGCTTAGTAGGAGAAAATCATGTGGTGAAGGTGGCTGATTTTGGCTTGAGTCGACTGATGACTGGAGATACCTACACAGCTCATGCTGGAGCTAAGTTTCCTATCAAATGGACAGCTCCTGAAAGCCTGGCTTACAACACCTTCTCAATTAAATCAGATGTTTGGGGTAAGATGTGTTCAGAGTCCTCATCTGTGGTAGCCCAGAGCCCTTATGACACCTGATAAAGGGAGTTTGAGGAAGAGGATGTGTGCTGATATCAGACCAGGTCACCCATCACAACACTCTGACTTTTCTTAGCATGTATATTCATGGGCGGATCTGGAGGAGGTGGTGGCATGGCCACAGCTCCCTTTCTGACCATATGACGGCGTCAGTAGCCAGGTACTTTAAATCCCTAAAGAAGATAAAAATTCCCCACCCCCTCTGTCCGGCACAGAGGCGTGTCCTGTCACATTCGCCCTTACCCCCTTTGCCCACCTGTCTGCTATTGCTAGAGTTGCTGCTGTTGTGTTCTTCCTGTCCCAAGGGCAAAGGAGCTCTTGTCCTGCTCCCAGCTGGTCTGGGCAGGGGCTAGGATCAGTCGGAGACAGTGGTGGCAACAGGTGGGTGGATTCCCTCTCCCTGTATATTCCCAGAGAGCAGGCCCAGGGAGAGGAAACCCATCTGCCCATGGTACTGAGCCCAGCCTCTACACTGCTTGGTTGAAGTGGCTCTGGAACTTCCTTCACCCCAAGGACAGTTGGATAACAGCGGTAGGGGGTAGGGGACATGCCTTTGAGCAGGGAGGTGCAGGGGATGAGAATTCCTACCTGCTTTGGGGACTTATAAAGTCCCTGACTGCAGCTTCCCTGGCATAGTCTGCCTGCCCCAGTGGGAGCCTAGAGGCTCAAAGCAGGGGGTGTAGGCACCCTGTAGTGCCAGTTCCTGCTCCTACAGCCCCCACCCATTTTGTAATATTCTACATGTACTCCTGTGTGTCTTCTGTCTCATCCCCTGGAGGCTGACATGAATATCTGCAGAAGAGACTACCTCAGGCTATATTCAGAACTATGGTAGGACTCAACCCATGGAAGAAAAGAAGGGATAGATGAAAACTGATTTTTTTTTTGTTCTTCTTTGCAGCCTTTGGGGTGCTGCTGTGGGAAATTGCCACCTATGGGATGTCACCATACCCAGGTATTGACCTCTCACAGGTATATGATCTGCTGGAGAAAGGATATAGGATGGAACAACCAGAAGGATGTCCCCCAAAGGTTTATGAACTGATGAGAGCATGTGAGTCTTTTCTCTTTTTTTTCCTCCTCCGTTTCATTTTGGGAAGGAAATGTAAGAATCTAGGATAGTGATGAGAATCCATAATTAACTGTAGAACCTTTTGTTTCTGATCTGCCCTGTCATGTTTAACTGATGTTGGTAATTGAAAATACTTTCACTGTCTGAAGGGTGTCTAGTGACCTGTGTAAAAAGTGTGATGTGCACTAGACACTGGCTTGAAACTAAGCATTCAATTCTGAAAATCCCCATCACAATTAGGACTGTTAAATGACACCCTTCGGTCCCACCAGCAGAGGCCATGGCCTGAATGGTACTATAACGCTTAGAATAGTCCCATAGTTCAGTGGCAGAAACACCTTGGGCAACTGTAATCTGGAAGCCTGGTCTATTTTGTTACATCTGCCTGCTCTATGGTTAAAGAAGAGTTTAATCTTCATGGCTGAGATGGCAAATAAGGAAATGTTACTTTTTAATTTAAAAAAAAAAAAAGAGGTGAGAAGGAATTAGTGTTGGCAACGTGGTAATGCTTTGTCATGGTTGAAAGATGGTTTCTTGATCCATCACCACTACAGCCTTGCTAAATCTGTCTGTGATTCCTGCTGAAATAAGCTGGGATTCCAGCAACTGTGTGATTTTTTTTTTTTTTTTGACATGCTGGCTGTGGAATAAGTGGTCTTAGCAAAAACGTACTCAAATCCTCATACTATTTCCCCTGCAAAAAAAAACAAACAAGATGACTATCTGTAATTCCTGCTGCACACGTTGAGAACTTTTCTACCTTGCCATAGGCTGGATGTGGAATCCCCCAGAACGACCATCATTTGCTGAGACCCACCAGGCCTTTGAAACTATGTTCCATGACTCCAGCATATCAGAAGGTGAGTACCCTTGCTTTTTCTACTCTTGTTTAAATGTGGTATTTCATGTCCATGGTGCTGACTACAAGATATTGAGGCTTATTCTGCTAGAGTCTTGCTCTTCAGATGTACAAAATTGTGCTCGTGTTTCAGTGAGATTAGACGCATTAAAAATATTCCAGTCCAATGGAAGCTGTATTTAATTTGTTTAGATATAAAAGGGTAATGGAATAGGTGTTAAGTATAAAATCTAGTCCATATTAGAAGTCTTTTATTTCTATTACAGAACTTAAGTATAGTCTTTGAAGGGGAGTTGAAAGAAGGGAAAGTACACACGTATGCAATATTGGCCTGTATTTTTTAACTTTAGAAATTGAGTGACTAAATACTGTATCTTCTTGCATACCACACACCCTCTCCCCCAAATAAGACATGAACCTTGATTTGGGGAAGGCAGAACAAAGGAAAAAAATATTTCTAGAGTTATGACTGCACAGAGTAGGGACAGAGCCTAATCTTAATATCACTTACACTCCCTGTCAAAAGCTGAATCTGTAGCTGTTGTTGAAGACTGGTGTTTAAGGGCAAGTCTGTGATTTTGAAGAGAGAAAAATCTGCCAGTGTGTTAACTGACACTCGGCTGCCTGAATAGAAATACCACTGCTGCTGCTGAGCAGTTGGTTTTAAATACACAGTGGAGCAGGAATTTCAGTGGAGTGCTTCCATTCTGCGGGGGAGAAGGTGGGGCATCAGTTTTGTTATTTAACATATACCCCAATTTTCAAAGGCTAATTTTGGTGGAAAGGGTGCGTGTGGTATGTGAGTAAATATGGTATGGATTTTCATCAGCGCTTATTATTGTTTTAACCTCTGGAAGGAAAGTGCTATTACCAGCAACAAACAGATGCACCTAACTTGAGCACATAGCTATTACACATGTATTTAATCTAAAATTTTGGTACACAGTGGGCATGTCTGTACATGCATTAATGCACCTTTGCTACTGCACATTAAATTTAGTACCTCTACGCAGTACTACATAAACGTACAGTAGCCGGCACTACTGCATGGTAGCAAAGGCGTGCACTTTTTTGTGAAGCTTAATGCTCAGTAGACTAATTTTTGCTGCACATTAGTGCTTTAGCATGGCTTTTGCCATAAGCTAATGCACAGTGAAATTAGTCTTCTGTGCATTGTCTTGTGTAGATGTGCCTGGTATCAAACAACAGAGGGCAGGGCTATTTCCATCTCCTAAAAAGCTTTGAACATCCTTTGAAATGTAAAATAAGTTGATCCATCCCCTTCACTACCATAAAAAATGCACCTGGCTAAAATTCCATTAGAGAGTCATTCTGCCCAAACAAACCCAAGCTCGGCAAATTCCCAGGAGTTTTATGGCCTTGCCTAACCCTTGTGTGTACATATGTATTGCTAGGAAAAATAGAATCTGCCTTCATTGTTAATGGGATGGTGCAGCCTGGAAAAGGGGAGTACTCTACCTCAAGCCCAACTTTCCTCTTAAAGGGACACGCTACTACAGGAGTATTTCTATGCCGATAAAGATGACTATTCTACTAAGAGTTGAGCAGCTTTTGAGCCATAAGCAGCACCTCAACCCCTGGCATGGGATAGAAGCTGCTTTTTGGGGGGGCTGCTGTTTCTTATTTTACAGTTCTCACTATTTTTTGTTGTTGCTGAACTTGGATGTAAACCAGTGTCTGAAACCATTAAGAAATACTATATATTTTTGCATGCAAGACGACACCAAATAAAACACACAACTTGTTTTTTGAAAAGCAGAATATGGGGGGGGGGGGAAGATTTATCAGGGTCATGGCTGACTGCATAACAGAATAAGTTCTCCTGGGAACATAGGGTCCAGGAATACAGAATCCCATGAGATAAGTCTGGTGAGGCAGCAGGAACTTCCTGGTGTAGCAGACTGTCTCCTGGGATGTCATTTCCTAGACCGTCCGTTTCCAGGAGGATTTACTCTGTCACACAGTTAGGCCCCAGACACTTGAAATGGCAGTGGCAAAACTAAATACTTTACTGTAAGTACCTTGTATAAGTTACTATAAATAAACTGTTGTTTTCACATCACAAGCCTCATTAAGATACTACCAACAAACTCATGTGCTGCTTCAGGCACAAGCTAATAGTGCTCAGTCAGTAGGTATGGCTGTGAGAGGGCTAACACAGGACTCCATACCTTCATATTTGAGCCAAACATAAATCACAGCCATCTTGACAGTTGCATAGCATGCATAGTATCTCCAGGCATGCCTCTCTTCCAGTGAAGAAAACAGCTTCCTTGCCTAAAGTGCACACTTCAGTTTTGGGAGGCTGATTTTTGGGCGAAAGGCACATATCGTATGCAAGCAAATATAACTAATCCTCTCCAGTAGGGGTCAGCAACATTTTGCAGCCAGGAGGGACTGCTTTAACAGAGCTTAGCTCTGAATGTGCTCCTTCCTCCCCCCACCCCCAGTACTGCCACTGCTACTCTTCCCTGCTACCAAAATGCTGCAGAAGCCTCTAGTTCTGTAGCCTGTAGGTTGCCAAACTCGGCTTTATATCCTTGGATCCAGTAGAACAGGGTTTCTCAACCAGTGGGTCCTCTAGGTGGGACTCAGTTATGGTGGCAAAACCAGAATTACCACAGCAGGACTTCTGGTTTCACTTTTGCACACTTCAGCTACTGCCCCCTCCTTGACCGGTGGGACCAGGATTTTTTGACCTTACGTAGGTGGGACATAAGGTGCAAAAGGTTGAGAACCACTGCAATTGGACAAGGGCCTCCAGTAAAGACTCATTCTTTTCCTTTCCTTTGCTAATCTCTGATCCCACTGTTCTCCTGATGCTCTTTTATTATCTCCTCCCCCTCACCCCCTCTTATAGAGGTGGCAGAAGAGCTTGGAAGAACAGCCTCATCATCATCTATAGTTCCTTATTTGCCCCGGTTACCCATGCTTCCCTCCAAGACTAGAACTTTGAAGAAACAGACAGAGAACAAGGAGAATATTGAAGGAACACAGGAAGCTGTGGAGCATTCGGCTTCCAGCTCAGCACCAGGTATGGGCAGTAAGAGTCACTGTGGCCATACGTTATAGGGCAGGTTTTCATCTGGCGTAAGTTATCAGTAGCTCTTTATTGACATTGCCAGTACTGTGACTACATATATGAACTGAACATGTGCACCTGTTGATCTCAGCAGGATGGTTTTTAGGCTCAACCACACTCCAGCCAGCCCTCGTAAAGTGGTATTACTCAATGAACCCCGTGAACATGTTGCACATATAAGTTAAGGTAGAACAAGAAAAAGTAATGCAGCTGAGAGTAGGCACGCAGATAGTAAACCTTATCTGTGTCTTGCTTTTTTTGGAGTAGTGCTGGGGAGGGCTCAGGATAAGGAAACACTTCTCTTCTTGGGGAAGCTGAGAGGGTATGGTATACAGCCTGGCATTTTTTCTTGATGTGTGAAATAGGGCATATCAGTTGGCAGTATGTGCTCTGATTTATTGTTTAGGAAACTCAGGGATTTCTAAGAGCAACAAGAACAGGGCTTTGAACAGATGCTGTGCAAGATTCCCTGCACTGCTCTCAGTTCATTGAACTGTTCAGTTGAATGACCAACCATTCATTTCAGGCTGTGTAAAGCAGTGGTCTCCAAACTTTTTTGATCGTGCACCCCTATCAGTAAAAAAATTTTTGAGCATGCACCCCCAATATATGTATATTTATATAAATATAAATAGAAGTTCTAATATTTTCTTCCTGCACCCCAATGGATTGTCTTGTGTACCCCCTGGGGTGCGCACACCCCACTTTGGAGACCACTGGTGTAAAACAGTTTAAGGGTTAGAACATATTAATAGATCCTACCACTCCAGCTTCACCAGCCTGATCTCTTACTGTGAAAACTGTATTTTTTTGGTTTGATAAACTTCATCGCCATCTTGAATGTTAACATTTTTATTGTTTTTTAAAATGATTTAGAATTTCATAAGCAAAACTGACAAACAGTAAAATAGATTGTTTAATTTATAGTTTAAAGCACAAGACCCATAAGCAGAGGAGAAAAGGACAGGGAGAGAAAAAAAGAAATAGAAACTAGAGGTGAACAACAGATCCTTGGTGTCTTCTGAACTTTTTCTTACGTTGAGTTTTCCAACTTGCATGACTGAGGTTTTTGTGTGTATGAAATTTTATTTTTCAAAGGATACTGCATCTGCCCAGAAATATGCTGTCTTTCAAACCCCAGGTTTAGGAGCACAGTACTGGAAAGGGCCTAAGCTTATGTCCAATTGTTTGCATCAACAGGCCAATGGCCACGCATCTCACCACAGAACATTTTATGAAGACTAAAGCTTGGACACCCTACAACAGGGGTGTCCAAATTCAGTGTAGGTGGCAACCATGTGGCCTCTGGGATTTCCCTTTCCCCCTGCTGCCCTTCAGGTTCTCCCTCCTAGCCACAGCTGCATAGGCTGCACAGGTGGCACACAGTTCCCTTCCCTCTCTTGCTGCATTGGCGATACAGTCCCCTCCTTGGCCTTTTCCTCACCATGCAGCAGTGAGAGAGGCAGCTGCAGGGGCCTGTGGGCCCATCGGTTTGACAGTCCTTTTCTACATTATGCCTCAGGCAAAAAGCAAGGGAGACAAAGCCTGCCACTGCTGCGGCAGATGAGTTATTGATTCATTTGCTCAGGTAATTCTAGGAAGAAGACCATGTCCTATGTTTATAGAGGAAGGCAAAAAAACCCTGCAGTTCTTATGAGCCTACCTGTGGAAAAATTCCTTCCTAACTGCGTATCTGGTGACTCATTTGACCCAAAACAGGAGGAGGGCAAGCTGGAGTTTTTAATCAGCTCTTGATTCCTATTTGTTTCCTTTCTTCAGGATTTATCAGAAGTGCACAGCCCACAAGTGGGTCTCCAGCCCTGCCTCGCAAGCAGAGGGACAAGTCACCCAGCAGCCTCTTGGAAGATGCCAAAGAGACCACCTTTACAAGGGACAGGAAAGGTGGCTTTTTCAGCTCTTTCATGAAGAAGAGGAATGCTCCCACACCTCCAAAGCGCAGCAGTTCCTTCCGCGAGATGGAAAATCAGCCCCACAAGAAATATGAGCTAACGGGTAATTTTTCATCTGTTGCTTCCTTGCAACATGTTGATGGGTTCTCTTTTCCTCCCACCCAGCAAGATTCAAACCTGGCCCCACCCAAGTGCTATGGTGGAGGCTTTGCACAGAGGAACTTCTGCAGCGATGATGGTGGTACTGGCAGTGGTGGGGGCGCAAGCGCTGGTGGCGGGTGGTCAGGCATCACAGGTTTCTTTACACCACGCTTGATTAAAAAAACACTGGGTTTACGAGCAGGGAAACCCACTGGCAATGAAGAAGCTTCAAAGCCTTTTCCAAGGTCAAACTCTACATCTTCCATGTCCTCAGGGCTTCCAGAGCAGGATAGAATGGCAATGACCCTTCCCAGAAATTCCCAGAGGTCAAAAATACAACTGGAAAGGACAGTTTCCACATCCTCTCAGCCAGATGACAGCACAGGTAGGTCCAATGACCTGCTTCCCAAAAGGTTTGAAGAAGGCCCTGCTGTGACCAGAGAGAGACCAAAAGCCAAGTTCTTGCCAAGAGGTGCCACAGCTCTTCCTTTCAGACCCTCTGTGGGGGAGTCAGCTGCCACAGAGAAGGATGGTCCAGGAGTAGTAACAGCAGCCCCTAAAAACAAAGAAAAAAACAGTGGTACAAGGCAAGGGACAGTAGAGGATGGAGAGAGACTAGGATGGTCCTCTCCAGCAAAGGCTGCAGCAATACTTCCAACCACTCATAACCACAAAGTGCCAGTCCTAATCTCACCCACTCTAAAACATACTCCAGCAGACGTGCAGCTCATTGGCACAGACTCTCAGGGTAATAAATTTAAGCTCTTATCTGAGCATCAGGTTACATCTTCCGGCGACAGGGACCGGCCCAGACGGGTAAAACCAAAGTGTGCCCCACCTCCTCCACCAGTTACGAGGCTCCTACAGCAGCTACCCACTGGCTCAGACACTGCAGAAGAGCAGAATAATACCACAGGAGCTCAGCATGGACTGGAAATGAGCGAAGGTGGTAAAAAGGCAGCGGTGGCGCCTGTTGGTGGAAAAACTGGGAGGCCCGTTTTGCCTCCACCTCAAGTGCCTCTGTCATTGTCTTCCACCTCCCCAGCAAAAATGGCCAATGGCACGGCAGGTGCCAAAGTGGCACTAAGAAAGACCAAACAAGCAGCTGAGAAAATCTCTGCGGACAAAATTAGCAAGGAGGCACTGCTGGAGTGTGCAGATCTCCTCTCGACTGCCATCACCGAGCCAACGCCAAACAGCCAGCTGGTGGATACTGGGCACCAGCTGTTGGATTACTGCTCAGGCTATGTCGACTGTATCCCGCAAATGCGCAACAAATTTGCTTTCCGGGAAGCCGTGAGCAAACTGGAACTCAGCTTGCAGGAACTGCAGGTGTCCTCCACAGCTGCTAGTGTGCCTGGGGCCAACCCAGTCCTTAATAACTTACTGTCATGTGTCCAAGAAATCAGTGATGTGGTTCAAAGGTAGCTACTGTCAATTTTAGTAGAAGAAAATATACATGGAGGGGAAACTTTTTCTGTACTGATGATTTCAGAAGGAAAGACTGATACTTGAGTGAGTTTGTGAAGTACCTCAGATTACTGAGTTCTCTCGTTTACAGGTTCATCTCAAAATATGGGGGGGAGGGAGGAAGGCGATGCTGGAGGGAGGGAGGGAGAAGTGGGGTAGATTGAAGCTGAAGGGGCAGAATGTTTTAAAAACTGCCTCACCAGAAAAATCTGATCTGCTTGTGTCTACAAGGGAGAGCAGTTCCTTACTCTTTCCAATGAGAGGAAGGAGAAGAGATGGTGGGTTCTTGTTTCGGTAAGGGTGGTTTTCCTTCCGATATCCAGAGTACCTGTGTGGTTGCAGGGCCACTTGATGTACAGATCCTCCCCTTTCTGCACTAATGCTTGCTTTGGCCTCCTGAGATAACAAGAGAAAGGCGCTGGGACTCTGCGGGTGCTCGTGCTGAGAGTTCTGAAGGGGGAGATTCCGTGTGATTGTGGAGGAGGAGGTCTAACGCACTGATGGTATTCAGAGCTGCTGGAAGTGGATGCACTAGCCCAGATGGCGTACTTCCACAGTGCTGTGGCTGCTGTAGTAAGAACTACAAAACAAGTTAATATATAAAACGAACCCCTTTCCCTGCCCACGCTATGACATCACACATTCATATTTTCATTAAATTTGAAGCTGAAGGGATACTGGGCAGACTTGCCACTGGATTATGCCCCTACCCCACCATACAACCTCCACTTGGGTTGGTTGGCTACTCCTGCTTCAGGTAGCCTAACATGGATGTTGCCTACTGGTCACTTGCAAGTAGTTTGAGATTCATGCACAATTTGCCAATGTCTTCTGATAAACTGTAGATTGTTGTAACTTTGGTACAGTGTTGGCTCCCTCTCCTCTTTTTGGTCACTTTGAGATCCATACTTGGCAAGGCACTGCCTCCTGTCAGTGCACTTTCTCACTGTTCTCTACATTCCTTTTTAGTATTAAAAGTGCTGACACTAATACAGTCCTCTTGGGAACCAGAACATACAACTTTACTGTCCCACTGTCTTCCTTCTGCTGCAGGTTTTGCTAACAGTCGTCTAAGTATCTGTCCCTTGATCTCACATAACATTAACTGCTGGTGGCTTTTTGAAAGTTGCCCACCTGTTCTGACTTGCAGGACTCTACCTCTTCAGGGCATCAGGCTGCACAGATATGAAAGGAGTGCAAGGCGGTGGTGGTGATGCTGGAACATAGAAAGCAGATAGCATTTACTGATGTGGAGCATACATGGATCTTCCTTTTGCCTCCAGCAGGAATGTCCATATATTAGTATATCAATATACTCCTCTGTATCTGAGGCTTGAAGAAAACCAGTGTGGCTCAGATATGTAGCATCATTGAGGATTTTGCGCTCTCTTGCATATTGACAATCTGCAGAATTGGAATCAGAATTGGAAACAGTTTTCCTTGCTGTTTGCTGCAGGCACATAGGGAAAAGCTGTAGTACCTTGCATGGTTTCAGGAGAGGGAAGCAGTGGGCATGGTGTGTGTTTCCAAGTACATGCTCACTAATGAATGTTTTTGCTTATGTTCCATTCTTTGCTGGAGAGCTGGTGAGGTTGTTTAAAGGTCTGACTTGCTCTGCACCTTAAATCTTATATTTTAGCTAAAATCTTAATTTTTTAATGTTATCAAACTGCTTTTAAGTAAAGTCATTGATGTTGGTCTGGGGGTGAAGTGTGAAGTTGAGGCCTGGCAGTGAGTCAGTAAGAGTAAAAAACTCAAGTAAGAGGTTCTTGAGAATTTGTCCTGTCCCTTTTTGAGCCTTGAGCCACTTTTGATTCACTGTCACCCTTACACTACAATGGCCTTAGTGGTAACCCAGAAACTGCCCAGACCACTCTTCCATTGCGTCAGTATAACATTGGCAAGTGGCTCACCCCCAGGCTACCCTGCCCTGTTGTCCTGTTTTGAGACCTGTGGTTCAAAGGAGGAGTGTCAGCTGTGCTTAGAGGGTTGCTGTCAGCCAACTTCAGGCCCCAGGTTTGAGGGGGTATTATTATTATTAAGGTCTTGCAAACAGTTTTGTTCATGCCTTCATGAAATTTGTCACAGGATAATGAAGCCTTCTGCCAGTGTCTGCAAATCAAAATCTCCTTATTTTATGATAAATCAAGTTTCATTGCTACATGTGAGCAAGTGTAGCAATGGAGTAATGCGTGTGCGTTTCTGAATATAACAGACCAGTTGAGCTTTGTGGTCTGTGATAAATGAAATGCAAAAAAAAGGCCAAATAGCATCACTGATGGGAAAATCAAAGTTGGTAGTCAGTTTTGGTCTTTTCAAGCTGGTAGTGTTGAAATGGGGACAGCGGAAGTGCAGCATGTTTAGTCTGTCTGCCTGGCACTTGGACCACATGACAGGATCTGATGCCTGTTTCTGTGATAGGTTGGCTATTCAACTGCTTCCTTCCAATGCAGACCCCTGTGCTTCAAGCCTTAGCACCAAGTGAGGGCAGTTTAGGGGGTGCTGCCTCAGCATTCCTTGCACATGGTAGTTTGTGCTCAGCCAGAGCCCAGGGTACCAAGAGCAGGTGTTGGATTTTGCCACTGTTATCTCCTGAACCTTTCAACAATTTTTCTATTTTGTCTTTTTATACATGTGCTGCAGGGGGTAGAGGGTGCACCTTAAAGCCCCCTGACTGTCATGTGTATCAGTGTCCCCATGCTGAAAAATGGTGGTGGGGGTGCTTTAGTTAAAACACCCCTGCCACCATTTTTAGCACAGGGACACTGATGCACGCAGTGCTGGAGTCTGCTGGAGCGTGGTAATTACCACACTCCAGCAGACTGGATTAATCAAGTCTGCCCTGACATGCTGTAATTATAGCGCGTCAGAGCAGCCTCAATGCATCTGTATAGGCGCCCTTTGTGTCTTTCAGTTACCTTGATCATAACTGTGCATTACCCTGAACAAATCTGCTGTGAAAGGATGACCTGTGAAAGGGTCCCTCTGTATTGCCTTGTCCTATCTTTTTCATCCTTAAAAGTATAGTTTTTAACTGTAGAAATTCAGGCTTTTTCTGCCTTGGGGAGCTAGGGGAACTGTCATTGCAGGAGATGGGCTGAAACAGGGCGGTTTTGAGGGAGAAGGCCCTTATTGTCAAGTTCTGAAAACTTTTTTTTTATTGGTAACATTTTCTATCAAGTGTGCAGATGCTGGAGCTTAACAAATGTCCTTCCGGATTCCAGCCCGTCTCAAAGTCCTGCGGTAAAAACGGGGAAGGACAGACTCGGACATTCCAGGCACTTCTGATGCTCAACTCCCCTGTCAGTCCATCCTTATCCACCATAGCACTTGTTTTAAAAAAATATTCATTTCTAGCTCCTCCCTCATACCACACGCCCTGTTTCTGCCACACAAGTCGAACTCTAGGGTGGGTGCACAGAGTATTTCTAATCCATTCTAGACAGTAACTCAGGGCCTCAGATTGCAGTCTTGCTGATAAATCAGTGGCCTTTTACTTCCCTATTGCATGTGCTGCAATAGATCAAGTACGCAAAGAGTGTGGGGTGGGGAGAAGATGCAACAATGGAGTTCATGGGCTTCTTAATTTTACACTCTTATTTTCCTGCAGGTCTTGATGTCTTATGCTTCCTTTTTGAATTAAAGGGTTGGGGAGGGAAGGGGAGCTGGTCCATTCAACCTGTATCATGTGTCTGCATTTTTGTACCTGCCACTATTGGATGACTCAGTTAAGCTATTGTTGATTTTTTTTGAGGCTCCAACTGATCTGTTTGGTAAAGATGGGGAAGCTGCTGTGAGGGGTGCAGAATTGCTGCCACCTCTGCCTACTGTGGTGCAGTGCCATGCTGTGTAGAGAAGCTTGTGCTAGCTCTGAACAAGTTGGTGTGTACACAGCACAGTGCAGATACCCTGGCTCCAGGAGCCAACCAAGTAGCTACATCAGCCTGGTGCTCAGTCTTAGCCTGGCCAGTGGGGCCAGGCAATGTGCAGTACTAATGCTGGTTTTAGAGCCAGCTGGGGTAGCTCTGTGGTACTGCATTGTGCTTTGTAGACATGCCTTTGGAGCTGTTACTCTGCTGCTTGGATTGCCCATTGTCCTCTGCTGCAGGAGAGCACCCACGGTGGGAGGAGTGAAATCTGTTTTCAGCGATAGGGGTCAGTTCCTCCTGTTCTGTCTCGGAGGCCACCTAGAAATGTTACAAACCCTCCCCTCTTTTGTTTAGGTTGACTTTCACTTGGCCTTTAGGGCTCCTAGCTGCATTAGCCCCTCTGCGTTCTTCATTGCATAGGATGAGTACAGTACCATATTACAAATGTAATGGGGAAGAGAGGAGTTTGCTGACCTTAATGAAAGGCACAGCCACTAAAATGAAGTGGTATTTGTGGGCAAGGAAGGAAGGGAGATTGCACACATCCTCACTGCACAGGCTATCTGGCTCCTTGCTCAGCTCGCTCTGGCATCGGCCTGCCACTATGTGTGAATCGGACAGGGTCCTGGTATCAACGTGGCCCAAGCAGCTTCTTGCAAGAAGCACGTGAAGTTCAGCACTTTCTCTTCACCTCACCCCTGCACAGTGGGGGGATACCCCTCAGGGGCAGCTCCCCTTGTCCCCTCTGTAGCAATGAAACACCGGGAATGTTTTGGCACCAGTCTCTCTTAGCAATTTTGAATTGTTGCACTCTGTGTCCTTAAATCAAAGCCATCTCCCTGTTGAATAATGCATCGTTAGTAGGGGGTTTGGGTGTGGGGGCAAGAGAAAATGAAGCTGGGTTAAGAACAGAGTCCTTGGAATATCATCAAATGTGGCAGTTGCAGGCCAAAGCTGAATGTAGGGAGGGGGAGGGCACAGCCTCTGGACTACAGGGTAGAGAGTTCCTCGACGTTCTGGTTAGGTTGACAGGATGCCTCCCCAAACCACCTGGGACTTACTGTAGTAAAATCCTGATGACAATGTGAACTCACTAGCAAAGTTTCCATGTGTGCTTCTTTGTAAAGCACATCCCATTGGGTCACTGCAGGTGGTGGAAGCTGAAGCCCAGTGTCAGGTCTTTGCACAGATACCTTACAGGTGCCTGCCCGTCTTTTGCCTGCTGCAGAGCAACAAGCACTGAGACCCAAGTCACTGCTTTGTTTTCACAGCATCATTGGTAGGTCAGTGCTCACTCATGTGGCAAGTAAGTGATTGCTGCTTCCCAGACAGGCTACATAGGAACTGAGGTTTGAGTAAAAGAATGCAGGTTTTGCCTGATGCCAGTCACCTGGCTTTGTTTGACCTTTCACTGAAGCCTGAGTAAGGGCCTCAGGATTTGATCCTGGATGACAGCAAAGGTCTTGGCCTGCCATTTGTGTTAGTCATTTAGAGCACTCTCCCAAAATGAGGACATAGCATCATTGAGGAATCTCCCTGCCCCAGGGAGCTGCTCAGTTTCTCTAGGGCTCTGGAAACTGTGACAAGCATTAGTGAGTCAGGTAACTTTTTCTAAAAGTGTAAGTCCCAGACTGGGTGTTGCTATTTGTTTTGTTTTAAGATCTGCAATCTACTGCTTCTAGCACTGGTCACAGATAGCCAGGGAATTAATAGATACCCAAGGGGCATGAGTAGAGCATG